TGCAGAGCTTGAACTGCCTCCAGCAGCCCAGGGCAGGACGTGAAGCTAGCAGGGACTGGGGGGAGTCCCAGGGAGAGACCCTCACATGCCGTTGCTCAGGAGGAGAGGCCCTGCTCTCTGGGCACTTACTGGCAGCTGGTGGGCATGTGTGCGGTGGGCAGAGAGCTGGTCTGCAGTAGGCTCACAGCCCCGAGCCTCGCTCTCTGGGCCTGTGCCCCTGGGCGAGTGCCTGTGAACAGGCCGTGCCAACGGTTCATCCTTCCCACCCAGCCCTCAGTGGGGACAGCTGAAAGACTAGAGAGACTGCATCTTCTTTCTCATGGGACCCAGGCCACCAAGGGAGCATAGCAGGCCTGAATTGTTATGAAACCATCCAGTAAAGCCAGAGGTGGGGCCACGTGGGTGACATCCCAGCCCTCTGCACATAGGGCGGGTTTAAGGGAGCCCTGGAGTCTTTGCCTCCTGCCAGGGTGTCTGTCTCAGCTGGGCTTTGCAGGCAGGACAGCCTTATCTGGTCAGCCCCAAACAGGTCGGACTTAGTAGCTGAGCGATGACAGCTCTGCTCCTTCTCAGGGGAATGGTAGAGAGCAGAGTTCACATGAGTTTTGACCCACATCCTGACTCTTCCTGGGACCCCTCTTCTCCAGCCTGAAGGGTTCAATGGGGTCTGGTAGCACTTGGTGCCTGGCTTAAGGTTCCATGCCTAGCCCTGGGTTTGGGGACATCTCAGCCATTGACAGCAACCTAGGGTTGGATGCCTTCAGGTCTGGTCCAAGGGGCCATAAAAGAAGCCTCCAGGCAGGAAGAAATAGGACAGTCTGGATAGCTTTCCGTGTGTATCCTAGGAGAGAAGAAGCACATCCTACCTGCCAGGGTCTCCTCGTTTGTGCCCTGCTCAGAGATGGTAGCTACAAGTTTGTCTGTCTTTTGAAGAACTTGCAGGCATCAGGCTGTTCCTCGGTGGCCACTGGCTCCATCGGGACTCCCGGTGAGACTGAGTACATTGGTGAGGGCATCGTAAGAGGCTCTCTGCCCTGGAGAGCAGCCTCCTTCCTTCCTCGTCATCTCCCCAAACCCTCCCTTGCTGTGCCACTCGGTGTAACGTTTCAAAAGGCAAGGAGATGTCCCAAGATACCCCGGTGGCCTGCTGCTGTTAGGAATGTTGGCCTGCTGGGCAGCCTACTCTCCCAGGGGTGGGGTTCTCAGGCTATAGCCACCTCCCACCCCCAGATTCACCTGCCCCTCCTTGGAGCTCTGCCCTCACTCCTAGTTGAGCAAGTCCACGACTTACCAGGCAGAAAGGCCAACAGCACAACCTTGTCTCTGCTCCCTGGGGGCAGTGGGTGCATTCTGTATCCAAAGTCACATCCCCCCGTTTCCTCTCTGGACACCATCTTCTAGGCGAGGTTTTCTTTCTCTTCGTGTTCCTCCTCTTTTCAGATCAGGCTTCAGGCTGGTGTCTTAAGGGAAAGGAAATGCAGGTGGCAGGTTGAAAGGGCAGCAGGAAACTGCCCACAGATAGGGGACCCAGAGTTTCTGCATTTTCTGCTTTCTTATAAACCCCCCTTCTTTTTCCTGTAAAGTGAGAAGATCCTGAATTTCTTTGGGTAAAATGTGACTGTGCAATGACATGGCATCTGGCATAAGCAGAGATTTCTGGAGAGATGCTTTGAAACAAGTCTTTGGCCCGGTCCCACCTTAAGAGTGCCTCCAGCGTTAGGTCTCTGGGCCCCTCCAAATACTCCCCTCCTCCAGTCGATCATCTCTCCGACCATTGTTCCCATCCACACAGTATTACAGAGCCACCTCAGGCCTAGCTCCTCCGGGCCAGGCCGGGGGGCAAGGGAGGTCTGGGAGTCGAACCTGAGCGGCTTTGGTGACTCCAGAGGAACTAAACCATCTGTTTTCTTGTCTCAGCCACAGAGCAACAACAAAAACAGTCTCGTAAGCCCAGCCCAAGAGCCCGCGCCCTTGCAGACGGCCATGGTACCTCCTGACTCCGGCTTCTCCACCCCTGCCCCTGGCTGCCTTCCTCTCCTTCTCCGTTCCTCTTCTTGCCCTCCCTCCCAGGCCTCCTTGGCCCTTTCCTTCTCATCCCTGTAGAGCAGGCTGCTTTGTGTCCTGCCCTGTGGGCCCCTTCCCCCTCATTTTCCCATGTGGCCATGCTCCTTCCTGCACCGCACAACTTCCACTCCTGCTCCTTCTGCTGTTGGGGGTGGGGAAGAGTGGTCAGGGCTCTCAGCTAACCCTCTTAGCCCCAGGCGGGGGCCCCATGGGTCTGCTGTGGGGGCCGGGAAGGTGAGTGGCTTATAAAAGAGGGTAGGAGCTTTCTTGGGACCTGTCGTTCAGTTCTTGGAGGCCTCCTTGTAAAACCAGCCTCAGCCTCTCCTTTGCAAAGCTACAAACGGGAAGGAGGGCTGGGGTCCCCCACCTCTGCATGGTGCTGAGGCCTCTGAGGTCCTGGAGAGCCCCATGCTGGGGGCACCGTGTGCTCCCAGAGCTCTTTCTGCTGGTAGTGACTAACTAGAGAGTTCGCAGGGGGGATGCCTGGGAGAGACGGGAGGGGTAATGGGCCTGCTGCTCCTACCTGCAGCCTGGGACCCTCATGCTGCCTCACGGCACAACAGGGCCAGGAACTCTGACGCAGGCACAGGTGGTAAAGCAGGCAGCTCCCTGGGCTCAGTTTGCTGAGGGGGAATCCTGGGTCTTTCTGGGAGACTTTAGTCTGGTCTCTCTATGTCCCCGCCTCCTACACACCCCTTGATGAACGCTGTTGGCAGGGCCTGGCCTGGGCCCTCAGACCCACGGCTCCTCCAGCATATTTGTCCCGTGGGGAAAGAACCCTTAGATCCAGCAGGAATTGGGGACAGAGGCCCTTGTCCTCTCAGCTTCTCTGGTACCTGCTCTTGTTAAGTGCCAGGCCTGTCCTTCTTACTCAGCCAGTACTCTCCCCGAAATCTGGGGCTTCCCAGCTACCTGGGACCCAGGTGAGCCAGGATATTTTGTCTTGTGGGAATGGCTGGTGGGCAGGCCTCTGTGGTCATCGTAGGGTCTAAGAGGGACTGGGCTAAAGGATGGGGTCCCTCAGTGAAGAGCCGTAGTTCTGTCCCCAGGTCAGGAGGATAATTTTCATCTTCTCTCACAGGAGCCACAAACCACCGTGGTACACAACGCTACAGATGGGATCAAGGTGAGTGGCTCCTGAGCTGGTCTCCTGCTTTAGGGATCAGCAAGAAACAGGTGGGCTGGGTCCTGTGGGGTCTGTGGGGCCTGCAGATGGCAGCCTGCAGGCCGCGCCTTGAGGCCAGATGTGGGCAGAGTCTAGGCTGGGGATAATGTGTACCTGTTTGTCGCTCCAGTCCCTGAAAGGGCATTATGCTTCATGCCCTATAGTCAGACAGGCCTGGGTTTGAATCCTGGGCCACTGAGTAAGTCACTGTAGTACTCTGCACCTCAATTTCCTTATCTGTGAATGAAGGATAATAATAATGGCATCTCCCTCCATGACTTGTGAGGCTTAAATGACAGCAAACAGCTAGAAAAAGAGACAAGAGTATAATCAGACCCTAGAGCATCCTCCATTGCCTCACCCCATTATGCTGTCAATAACTTTGTCGTCTTATTGGCACCCCCATTAGTAAATATTTACCGAGCCCCAAACCATCCATGGCTCTGGTCTACAGAGGTGACAAGACAAAAAACTCTCTCCACGGGTGTAGGGGAAGCAGATAATAAACCAAAATCCATATGAGTAAGATAAAATCCAATAGTAGTAAGTGCTATGAAGAAAATGACACAAAGGAAAGAGAGGGGGTGAACAGGGCTTTTCTTTAAGTGGCCAGGGAAGGACCTCCCTCGGGAGCTGAGTCTTTGAGCTAAAAACTAAACGGTGGGAAGGAAACAGCCAGGCAGACTCTGGGGCAGAGTGCCCTAGACAGGAGAGCTGCAAGTGCAGGGGCTTAGCCAACATACAGAACAGAGGAAATGAAGCAGAGCCAAGAGTGTGAGGCCTGGGGAAAGCGGCAGGAGGGGGATGGCGCTGGAGAAGCAGGAGGCCTGCTACATAGGACTTCATAGCAGTATGCATCTTCTTCCAGCACCAAGGAGAAGCTCTTGGAGGTTCTTAGCGGGGGAGTAATGTAGTCTCATTGACACTTTGAAAAGCCCCTCTGGCCATGTTAGGGGCAAGAACTTTAGGGAGGAGGCAAGCATGGATGCAGGGGGACTGGGAAGCTATTGTAGTCTAGGCACCAGATACTGGTCACTTGGACTCAGAGCGTAGCTGTGCGTTTGAAGAGAAGAGGTAGGGGTGTCTGGCTGGCTCAGTTGATAGAGCGTGCAACTCTTGATCTCGGGATTGTGAGTTCGAGCCCCACGTTGGGTGTAGAGATTACTTCAACATAAAATCTTTTTTTCTTTTTTTTTAAGATTTTATTTATTCACTTGAGACACAGAGATACAGAAAGAGAGAGAGAGAGAGCATGAGCAGGGAGAGAGGCAGAGGGAGAAGGAGAAGCAGGCTCCCCTCTGAGCCAGGAGCCTGATGTGGGGCTCGATCCCAGGCCCCTGGGATCATGACCTGAGCCGAAGGCAGACACTTAACTGTCTGAGCCACCCAGGCGCCCCCATGAAATCTTTTTTAAAAAAATGAAGAGAAGAGGTAGGAGACAGGATTTACTTTGGAGGTAGGACTGATAGATTTGAATTTAGGTTGGATAAATAAAATATAAGGGAAAGAGAGAAAGCTAAGATTCAACCTAGAATCAAACCTAGAAGAGGACTCCAGGTTTTAACAACAGGATAGATAGTGTCATTTACCGAGTTGGGGAAGAGTAGGAGGTTGGGGAAGACTGCGTTTGGGAATCCAGGGTTCTGTAAAAAAAGTCAGATGGCAAGGGTGAAAATCAAACCTTTCATGATTCTTCCTTGCACCTCCTGCAGGAGCACATACTCTGCTTTTGTTCTGCTCGGTTCCTTTAGTGTCCAAGGGCCTGAGTGTATAGAAACATGTTCTTTTTGGCCTACAGGGCTCCACAGAGAGCTGCAACACCACCACAGAAGATGAAGACCTCAAAGGTAGGTGCTGACCCTTGGTGGGGAAGGGACCCCAGCAGTGTCCCAGGTACATTGGCTCTTGTTTGTCCCCAGAATTGAGAATGATGACTCCTTATACTCTAGGAGAGGGCTTGGCATAAAAAGCTCCTTTTCATGGGCTAAGATGTGAGGTCCCTGCCTGGCCTGGCTGGGCTGGGCAAGAGGCTTCTCCTCTTTGACCCCAAGTCTGGAATAGCTAAACCAGAGCTTTTCCTGAGGCTTTCCAGGGCCAGGGCTCAGAGAACTATTCCTATTGCTGATAATGATGTAACATCCCAGTAAAGGAACGTCCTGAGTCCCTGCAGAAGTAGCCCACAAATACAGTGAGTCATTAGGAGGGTGACCCATTGTCCTGATTGCCCTAGGGATGAGGCGATTCCCAGGATGTGGAACTTTCAGTTTTAAAACTGGAACCGTCCTGGGCACATTGGGATCAGTGACTCTTGTCACAAAGTCTTGTCATGAATGATGGAATCAGGACCACATTTGGCCATGTCCTGGTGGTCCCTCGAGGACCACCAGCCTAAGTGTGGGCCTGGCCAGAGGGCCATGGGGTGTGGGAGGGCATGGCAGACCAGACCACCGGGAATCTCTGTCCTGTTCTTCGGTTTGGCCTCCTGGAATTGCTCCCTTTGCCATCAGTAAGTGACCTGAGGCCAGGCTCGCAGAACAGATGGAGAAATGCTGAAGGACAGAGCTGAGAGAGCACACCCAGGGGCAGTAAAGGGGCACTAAACCTTTGGGAACCAAAAAATAGAAAGCATAAACATATAAGGTAGTAAAGAACTGTACCTCTAGGGCTGCTGGGATTCAGGCCAGAGCAGTTCAGTTCTGGTGATGCCGTGGAGTGGCTCCTTCACGGCTCTTGACCTTGTAGCCTGGCCCCCTACAACATCTTCACTGGGAGCAGGGGTCCTTACACAGGCTATTTGAAGGCTCCTCTGGAAGCCACAAGCCCAAGTCTGCACCTTCCTGGGGCTGTCAGCTGGGAGGCCTCTCTGGCAGAGGCGGCAGCGTGGGATGTAGTCCAGGTGTCCACAGCAGCCCGAGGCGTTGCCTTGCCCCGGCTCTGCAGTGCCACGGGCTTGGGTCCTGTCTGGCTTGCTCGCTCACCTGCCTTGTTCTGTTTGTTTTGGCTGCTCTGCCTTGCCCTGCCCTGCCCTGGCTGGCTAGCTGCCCCGCTCCGCACTGGGAATGGCAGCTCGGGGCCTGAAGGACGGAGCTCCCGGGACAGAACAGCCCCCTCTGCAGGCATGCAGCCCCAGCCTTCTCTCTGCTCCTCAGCCAGTAAGTGTGAGGGAGGCACAATCTGGCTTCTGTCTCCCTGGCTCATCCTGAAGCCCCTCAGGGATCTCCTCCCCCCACCTCCCCCAGAGCTGTCAGCCCAACCCAGCTTGGGGAGCTCGGCCTCTGCTGGGTGGGGGAGCTGATTGGAGGTGCTGTTAATGCCAGGCAGGGGCCCCTGGGACCAGGGCCCAAAGACATAAAGGAGAGTGGGTAGAAGAACTTGGCATGGTGGGAAGGAACAGAAAGCCCCGGGGACATTCAGTGGGCCTCACGGCAGCAATGAGCAAGAAAGAAGGGCCGAGTCCGAAATCAGGTCAAAGGTGGTGGGAGCGGGGCTGATGATGAAATTGCTGTAGCCAAGAGCCATATTGGGATGTGGTGTTGCCTGAGGCTCAGCATATCATATTAAGAGCATGAGGCTTGGGGTGAAACAGACCCGAGTTTAAATCCCGGCTACACTACCTCCAGAAATGTGTGAAGCAGCTTACACCTCCCAGAGCCTCAGCCTCCTTCTCTATAAAGTGGGAATAAAACAGCACCTACCTCAGAGCACTGTCATGAAAAATAAATGAGATAGTAGAATGTCTTGATACGATGCCTTGCTGGGTTAATGGTAGCTCATATTTATATTTTAAGTTGTGTCTGTGTAGAGAATGCCTTTGTCTGCTTCTTTTCCTTCTACCATCTATCCTTTTAGAGTTTATAAACACAATCCTCTTCACCCATAGGGCCCCAGTCAGGTCCTGCAAATGGGTTTGGTGGGGTTGGGGAGGGTGTGTGTGTGTGTGTGTGTGTGTGTATGTGTGTGTGTGTGTACATGTGACCTACCTGCTTGCCTCTGGGACGTGGATAGAGCTCGTTTGTTCCCCTAACGTGCTGCTTACTCACCTGGAGCTGCCTCCACGACAGGGCTGGTGGCTGTGGGGCCCCCACCTGGCCATGTCTTTGGCCGTGCTGCCCTCTCCCAGCTATGCCCCTTGGCTGCGCTGTTCTAATGCACGCGTTTGTCTCGCAGCCTCCCACTCCTGTGAGGAGAGCCTGGGCCAGCCCGGGGCTCTGGTCAGGGTTAGCCTGAGCACAGTCTGAGCCCTCTCTTACCCTAGCGGTGCCCCTGCTCATAGTGGTGCTCCCTGTCAGGATACCACCAGCAGCAGTCCCTTGGCTTCGGATGGGGTAGGGGTGGGGGGCTCTGAGGGCACCAATTCTGCCTGCCTGTCATTCTGAGCCTTATCTTGGTTTCCTTGAGGGACACATCCTGGCATGAGAGCTGGTGGGAGATTTAGAGCTTTCCCAAGGCTCGTCCAGGGTAAATGGAGCCATCTCTCTGGTGAGAAGCTCCGCTTAAAAAGAATGTTTATAGTTCCAAGACCCTTTATGCCAGAAAAGCCCTGTGGAGGAGATGAGCAGGGTGAAGAGAATTAAGCATCCATCCCAGGGCTCCGCTCATCCTTTCAGAGCCCTCATCCCTGGCTAGGTTCTGCTCTCAGGCTGGCTGTTGCCCAGGGCTAGGTTCTGGACCACTGAGTGAGGGCTAGGGGTGCTGTGGCGGTGGTAGTAACTGAGACCTGACTGAGCCCCTTCAGGTGAGAGAAGTAAGCAGGTGGTGGAGATAGCCGTATCAGGAGATGCTTCTTAGAGAGGCTGAACGTGCTGGGGATGGGATACACGGAGTCTGGGCAGAGTATTAATGATGGCCAGGCTCCTCAACTGTAAAAGACAAGAGTGTTTTCTGCATCCTGGTTGTTGATGGAGAGGGAGACAAAGGCCAGAGAACCATACCTAATGGGTGGGCTTTGGGAGGAGGGGGCCGTTAGCTCTATAGGACAACAGGGAAGGAATGAAGAGAAAAGTGGGCTCACTTTTCCTGCAGAGGGCCTTAATGTTCAAGACAGGGAAGAGGGTTATCTTTGTCACAGAGATCACAGGGGATTCTCTGAAGGACTGGGGAGGGCTCTGTCCCTTGGGAGCTCCCCAGTTCCATGCAGGTAAATTGCTGGGTTTTTCCCCCCACAGTGCGAAAACAGGAGATCATTAAGATCACAGAACAACTGATTGAGGCCATCAACAATGGGGACTTTGAAGCCTACACGTGAGTAGAGACCCATTTCCTTGTGACCCAAGTCATCTCTTGAGGCCTTCCCTCCTCCCCAAAATCCACTTGGACCCTGGGAAAAGGGAAAGCTGGGCCTTGGGCATAGTGCCTGAATTAAACACCAGGCCCTTGGGCTGGGATCTCTCCCAGGTAGATACACTGTGGTAGTACCCCGCACCTCCGAAATCGTAGCCATCTTGTCAGGCCTAGCCCACAGCTAACCTGCTGCAGGACAGATGCCACTGACAAGAAAACAAGACAAGTCACCCCTGTAGGAAACTGACAGGCTGCTTTTCTTTCTGCAGGAAGATTTGCGATCCAGGCCTCACTTCCTTTGAGCCTGAGGCCCTTGGTAACCTCGTGGAGGGGATGGATTTCCATAAGTTTTACTTTGAGAATCGTGAGTGGGTTCGTGCTGCTGATATACTCCTGCCTGCCCCTTCACCCCCTTTGCCTCTGTCCCTGCTCCCCTTCTCCTCTTCCCAGTTGCCCGCTTTTCCCTTGTTTGACCTGCTTGGCTGCACCCTGGTCTATGTGTTTGCCTCCTTGTACCCCGAGGATGGTCTTAAACTGACACCTTGGAAGGACCTGCTCCAGAGCCCCACGTGCCCCTTCATTCTGCAGCAGCTTTGTGGCAGAACTGGTTTCACAGTCAGGGTCACTATTCCATTCAGCCTCACCTCTTTCCGCAAAGACTGGAAACCACTGAGATCAGGTTGAGATGTCAGCAAGTAATAATGAAGCTCTTTATCTACAGGTTTCACAGTAGAGGAAAGTAAAACCAGGATAAGAATGCACAAGCAAGTAGCAGGGCACTGTAGGTGATTTGTGAGATCAGAAGCTGTGGCTTGGGTCCCTCCTGAATATGGAGGGAGACAGTCCTGGCTGAGGGGCTGTGTACTCTGGACAGTTCGTGGAAGTCCCAGGGGATAAGAAGATGAATCACCACCTCCTCCTATCTTTCTCTCCACTCTCTAGCACCCTCCTCCTCCCTATTTTTTTTTCTTTTCTTTCCTACATTATCCTAGGCCTTCCCCATCCTGCCCCGAGTTCTGTTTTATTTTGTCACTGTTTTCTCTACTAACTACCAACCTCATCATGTCTCAGCTGCAAATGTAAACCCTTGGCTATCTAAGTAATTCTATTAGCCAGAAGCAGCTTCAGAGTTTATAGAAGCCCTAGGGAGGGTCTCAGGTAGCCCCTGTCCCACATTTGAAATGAATTAAAATGTGAATCTCATTAAAAGCCACACAATTTACCATTATCATGAACACGGCAGATTGTGTGGCTTCTTTTACCTTTCCCCCAGAGAAACCTGAGAACCCTGGGGATCTCCTGAGCTTGGTGCTTTGGTGATTCTATTTTAACTTTGGACGTTTTTGGTTTTTTCTTTCTAAATCACAAATGCACTTTGAAATCTTAAGCTCTTGATTTTGCTCTGCAGCCAGTTAGGGACAAGCCAACCCTTAGGAAATCTAAACATCAGCCTGGAAGAGTGGAAAGATCTTAGGCTTTAGTGAAGAGTCATATGGTCCTGAGTTCAAATGTTGTGTGATTTGAGCAAATTACTTAACGTCCTTGAACCTGTTTCATCATCTTACAATAAAGATAATCATATTGACCAAGAAATATAGCTTATGTATGTAAAAACCCCCAGCACAATGTCTGATTAAAGTAGCAGTTGCTATTATCATTGTTCTCCACCTCTTTCTTCCTTTTGGATAACTGAGACTAATGTTCTGGGATTTCCTGGCCTCTGGTGTGTGGGGGACTTAGAGACTCCCTGAATGGCTGCTGGAGAGAGGGTGAGACCTGAAGTGCAGGCGGGGAGGGAAATCCGTGCTCAGGCCTGACGCCCTCCTACCTCCCGCACTCTGCCTTGCCCCCTGCAGTTCTGTCCAAGAACAGCAAGCCCATCCACACCACCATCCTGAACCCGCACGTCCACGTGATCGGGGAGGACGCAGCTTGCATCGCCTACATCCGCCTCACCCAGTACATCGATGGGCAGGGTCGGCCTCGCACCAGCCAGTCGGAGGAGACCCGGGTCTGGCACCGCCGGGATGGCAAGTGGCTCAATGTCCACTATCACTGCTCAGGAGCCCCTGCTGCACCGCTGCAGTGAGCTCAGCCACAGGTGCACCTGGTAGGGGGGGTGAGGAAGGGGACAGATGGGATCAGAGGAGGAAGAGGAGGTTGAAAAGTGGCACTGGGGGAGGAGACGTGGACCATCCCAGAGGAGTGGCAGAAGCCGTCAGACAGACTTGCGTCTGGCCCCAGGACTCCCAAGCTGAGCGACTTTGGACAGGTTACTTCCCTACCCTAAGCCTCAGTTTCCCTAGCTGTCAAAAGAGAGAGAGAGAGGGGTACCTACTTCACTGAGTTGAGGACTAAATAAGATACTCATAAGTGAAGCATTTGCTCAGCAAATGTGAAGCGATGTTATATTTATTTATTTTTAAATTTTATTTATTTATTTGACAGAGAGAGACACAGTGAGA